CTGGTTGATTAAATATTCAAAATTTACCGGTATTTTTAGGGCGATGATAAGTTGACTCTGCATGAAGGATCAATTATTTCGGTAAAGTGGTAAAACGCTTTTTGTTTGAAAACCGTTTTTAAAATTGTAATTTCTTGAAGCACAATCATACTTTTTTTTATTTATAGTCTCGTCTTCTCTGATCTCAAAATACTCATAGTGTAGTGTATTTTAAGCAATTTTGAAACATGAAAGTGATACTATTCGTTGACCATACATTCTGATGTTTTCGAATAAAATAATGTTTCGACTAGAAAAAAAATAGTAATAGTTTATTCTGCTTGACGAACGAACAATTTGAAAAATGGTAGCCAAATAAGATACGTTTTACTAAAACCATTGGAAGTTTAAGCTGATTCAACTATTTAAGCTCACAATAATTCCGTTATTTTTTTTATTATTTAACCAACCTGCAGTAAGAATTTCAGAATTTTCAATACTCATATTAAAAAGTTGCAGTCTATTAAACTAGTTTAGAAGGACAAAAAATCCAGCCCAGTACCCTAATTTTACCGGTACTGTATAATTAATTTTGAAGGCTAGGTAGTTGCATCCTTTAGAAAGGATTATTGCTTTTTATTATTACGTAACCCAATAGACAAACTGCCAATTACCAAAAGGGAAAGTCATTAATTTTCAAATATTCAAAATCAGTTTTTTCGTTCAAACCCAAAATAACGTAAACGAAAATTTGTTCATTGGATTCTACTTGGCTACTGGAACACAGTGAACACTTTATCATTGACAGAATTTCGGTTTTATTCGAAAAAACTGTTTTTGAATTTCTAAAAATTAATGACGTCCTCTTTTCCCTTAAAAGACTGATGATTTTTACCGAATTGATGACGACTACACTACACTACACTGAAAATAATAAATTTTGAGTAAGTGCATATGTTTTCATAACGTTTGATAAAAACTCGTTGTCCCCCTAGTAGCACGCTTGGACGCTTGTCACAAATCAGTTGTGGCAACTTCTATACAACTAATATCAGTCATAAACAAGTTGCTGCAACTTATTGTGACGGAAATGTGTTACTCGGGCCTCCTCTATTGATGATAAAGAATATCTACATACATTGTCCTCCTTTTCCTCTAAAATTGTAATGAAATGTCCTCCTTTTCAATTTTTTTTAAATGGTAACCCTAATCGCATGTCGTATGTCGGATCTTCCATGTGGCCATGACAGGTTCAGATAATCATTGCACTTTGTAAACTACTTTTTGAACCACAATAGGAGCCATTTTGAAAAAAAAAATCGTGAAACTATTAAACGAGTTTATCAAATTGATCACTTTTACGGATGTTCCGGATCTTCCGGAGGACCAGTGCACAGTGGTTCCTGGCTGGCCAAAACCTCAAAAATTAATGTTGATATTTTTTTATTTCAATATTTTTTATCGTTTTTAGATGTTAAGAGTATCTTAAATTGAATGATTTGTGCAGTTCTGTTGATTACATATTTGTTTATGGTTGTTATAGTGATTTTTTTGAAAAAAAATCGTTATGTTTCTTGTCACTGTTTTGCTCAAATATAGCAAAAAATAATGTGTTTATCAACTTGGTTGCTTGAGAAGAAATGTTCTTCGGCTTATTTCACGTCAAATGGATGGTTAAAAAGAGTGTATGCACTGTTTTAAGTGACAGTTTCAAATAAAAAATGGCAAAAATATACTTTTTTCACATTTAGACTAAGCAAAACATATGACGGACACATCCGCCCACTATCCTTTAGCAACCAAAAGATAGCTAGAAAAGCTAGCTTTCAGATAGGCTTTAATGTTTTTTGCCATTTTTTGCTAAAGATGTTAAAATTAGGAATAACAAGTAAAGTGTTCTTTGGAAAATATCCGTTTCTAAGTTATATAATCTGCGGCGTAGCAAGATTCACAATGCCTTTTTCAAAGCACACCAACACGCACACACATACACACACGTACCATATATCTATCTCTTATGGTTCATGAGTTATATTTTTTTAAACAAGCAGGTTAGGGTGGCCCCTAGACAATCGGCTTCTTTAAATATCTTTTTATACGTTCATTTCTCGTGAAATTTTTATACTAGACACTTTAAGAACTTTTTATGGCGCATATTTTTGCTAAGTTGTTATCTCTTTTGTTTGAAAAGTTATGGCTAGCTTTTACTGAAAAATATTACTTTTTTTAATTAAATTAAATGCTTTAAACAGTACCACCCTAACCTGCTTGTTTAAAAAAATCATAACTCATGAACCATAAAAGATAAAAACGTTGTGTCTTCAACAAAGTTGCTTTGAATTGTTGAATGTTCTACAACTGTTTAGTACACTGCTTTGGTCTATCTCAAATAATAAAAAAGTTTGAATATTTAATTCACCAATTTTATGGACCACCCTAATTTTACGAACATAAAAAGATTGAACAAAACATATGAAGCAAGTTTACCAAAAAAACAATATCAGTGCTAACATTTGAAAACGGCACAAAAGCCATTTGTAAACAAATGGTTTGTGGGCCCTTTACTCACTACTTGAAGTACACCCACGCGACACAACAGCAACATCGGGTAGGGGAAATTTTCCCCTTCCTGACGATGCTGTTGGTTTGCGTGGGCGTTCTTCGGGTAGCGAGTAAAGGGCCCACAAACCATTTGTTTACAAATGGCTTTTGCGCCGTTTTCAAATGTTAGCACTGAATATACCTAAAACTGACGGTTTGGGCCCATACATTTTTGTCTTCCCAAATACGGCTTTGGGACCATTGTGCATTGGTTCTGGCTCTACTATACTCCTTTTTGTGACGTCTTGATTGTCAAGTTTTCTTCGTACAGCTAAAAAACATCTATTTCAACTGTTTTATGTCTATTTGCAACATTTTTGAGGTTTTGGCCAACTTTTGTTCTAAGTGGAACCACTGTGCAGTGTGTGACCATGGGAGGTCCAATTACTGGATGCATATTGTAAATTAGTTTTGAAACACAGTAGTAAAGTATTGAAAAAAGAAAACGCGGAGCTTTAGAATGAGTTCAATGAATTGACCATCTTTAAGGATGTTTTGGATCTTCCGCAGGACCAGTCTATGGTCCCCATACGGTCAAATAATGTTCGGCAGTATCATATTGGTCTATCCATAAAGGGTGTCCACGATGAAATTGCCACACACAAAATTGATTCGCAAAATTCGAGTTTTCATCCGATTGCCATCAAATTTTCAGGGATTGAGAAATAACTATTAAACTTCATTTTACCATTTTACTCGTATTTTATTTACAGTCCATACGCAAATGCCCGCACCTTGGCCTTAACCCCGGCCATAAGATTCTGCACAACCTGTGAATCAACCGTTTTTTGCATGTAAACCCATACTTTCTTCAGTTCCTCGACTGTCTTCACTACCTTAGGTCGTTTAAGAAGGTGCTGCTTCATAATCGCCCAGTACTTCTCGATGGGCGGAGCTCCGGAGTGTTGGGAGGGTTGAACATTTTCGGCACGAAATTGACCTTATTGTCCGCATACCACTTCAGCACGTCCTTGGAGTAGTGGCATGAGGCCAAATCCGGCCAGAAGATTGTTGGGACGTTGTGGGCCTTCAGGAGAGGAAGCAGCCGCTTCTGGAGGCACTCTTTTATGTACACCTGTCCGTTCATCGTATCCTGAGTCACGAAAGGTGCACTCCGCTTCCCGCACGTGCAGATGGCTTGCCAAACCAGGAATTTCTTCGCAAATTTGGACTATGAACTAAATCCACCCAAATTTTCATTAAATTCTACCCAACGGTTAAAAAGTTAGAGCAATTTCATAGTGTGGCAATTTCATCGTGGACACCCTTTAGTTCAACGGTTCACTTTAGTGTTTACTTTTAGAGTAATTTCATCTCCGTTTTGACAATTTCCATTCATCCGGATTAACTCCGAATTGTAGCCGGTTCCGTGTGGCAGTAATAAACAAATGGCATCCAGACCCCTTGAATGGCAAAATCGAGGGCAAACTGCCTCCCCCCTAAACTCAGCAACTCAAAGGCTTTCGGTGAAATGGCGTTTAGTGAAATGGCGTTCAGTGAAATAGCATTAGGCCAAATTTTCCATAGTAATTGTTTTTTTCGCCCTCCCTAGTTAGAAACCTGGCTACGTCCTTGATTGCAGCCCTTTTTTGAATATCGTCACCAGGTTAAGGTGTGTTAATACAGGTACTTTAATCATTCGCATGTCGTAAATATTGAACAAACGTCAAATTCCAGTCACTAACTAATCACAAAACTCTACCACGCAAATTATCGTCTAGAAGTAGAAATCGTCGATTGGAATTTTTGTTTACAAAATGAGATGTACTTTTAAAACGCTTTCCTCATCATTTGTCAAGTTCCAACTCCCCCTGCAACGCTGCAACAACTGTTCACGTGCATCGAACGGCGCATGGCGTTTGGGCAACATATAATTTGCCTTTTTGTATTTCCTCGCCTCGTTCTGCTCTGATGGCGATGGCACATTCGCTTGTTCAAAAGTACATCCCCTTCTGAGGAGTTTGAATTGGAAACTTCTGGCTGAGAAGCGATGTAAACAACCTCACTGATCTTTCCCAAAGGTGACCGGTTGATTTCCAAATGATTCAATTTGCCATCTATAATTTCCCCCTACCCAAATGGTGGTAGTTTGTGTGGGTGAGCTATCAGTTGCAAAAAAAAACAGAGGATTGAAGTTATTGTTTACAATCGCAGTTACGTCTATTTGGAAATTTAACGTTGATTTATTGTCCCTGACCAAAAGGTGTCACTAAGAAAAAAGTTACAACCTCTCTTAGGTTCTACCGAGATTTGAACTCGGATCGTTGGATTCAGAGTCCAAAGTGCTAACCATTACACCATAGAACCGGTTGATGAGGGGCCGCTGCCTAAAGTCGAGCGAACGATTCAAAGCGAGACACACGAAACCGAAAACAAACCCGGCTCACATTTCTTTTCCCCTCCTTTGCTTTCTACCGTAGACTGGGAATCGGAGGCTGTGGCAAAGGCGGAGATCCTAAGACTTATCTACCAGGGCAGATTTCTGCACTGCAACGTGACGCTAGGCGCCCTAGGGTTACCATTAGGCAAAACGACCGTGATGCACTTGGTCCCACGTGATAATCTGCCCGAGCCAAATTCGCAAGGTAATTAGAATGATAAACAAACTGACACTGCGATAAATGTTCACCTTGGATGTGATTAATTATCATGTTTTTTTTTCGTTTTAGATCAGCGACAAAAAAGTAAAGGCGGCTCCAGTAGATGTTGTTCCACTAGTTGTTGTATATTGTAACCAATTTTTATCGAGTACTAAAAAAAAACAAAACAAAAAACAGAAAACGCTACCACTAAACTCACACACATACACAAATACGCTCTATTTACTGTGTCATCGTTATTGCTACTCCTGCTGTGGCCACGATTGCTGAACTACGGACCAACACAGCAACCGGAACGAGGACGTGTGTTAGAGAAGGAGGAGCAGGATGCGATAATTATAAATCTGATTTTTTCCTTATTTTTTGTTGAATAGTTTATCCTCTTTGTTCATATTCATTAGCGAAAATTTGTTTACTTTTTGTTTTAGCTATGTTTTAATCATTCTCTGCTGCCACACACACACGCGCATAAGACACTTAACATGCATGTAATGTATAAACAAAAATGGACATCAAAACTCCTCGACGAGTAGCATCGATTGGACAGACATACAAACACACACACACATACACACATATGTACACTGAAACAAAACGTCAAACTCAAAGTTGCGTGCAGTAGAGATAAAGCAAAAGTATGATAAATTTAACGTTTAATTAGTTTTGTAAGAAGTAACCGGATCGAAACGATGGAGCGGATTAAGAACAATGGTACATATTTTTAGCGAAAATTCTATACATATACAAACACACGCAGCAGGCAGCAAGGCGCAATGTAACTGGACTGCAGCGACGGTGCGTGTGCTGGGAAGGGAAGGAGGAAAACTTATGAGAAGATACGGATGAAACACGAGTAAATCAGATGAAATTACTAGGTATAGGCAATTCGTTGATCGTATAGGTTCTATATTTTTCTCAGATTTAGTATTTTTACAAGGAAATAGAAGAAGAAGAAATGACGCGAAACATACAAAAAAAAACACACACACACAAAATGGTGGCTATCAGTTTTCGCCCTGAGTTCGAAGTTTAGTGCGCAATCCTATCACGGGACAAATAAAATGAAAGCAAAAAAAAGCTTAGAAAGAGATTATTTAATGTAAACAAAAGGAAGGAGACCACAGTCTTGAAAGAATCTATTGTTACAAAATGAAAAAAAGATGAAAGATCAGTTATTCTAGTTTAATAACGAAATTGTAAAAAGTAATAAACAATTTAGACTAAACAAAAAAAACAGCAAAAGAGATCCCAGATAGCAAGCGCCACTTACTCACACACATCGAAAAACTACATACACACACATACACACAAACAAAAAGCATGTAATAACGGAGAAACAATTCCTCAACCTACTCTCATTTCTCGGTTAATTCGTGCTGTAAGTGATATATAGGAGCAACCAGCGAAGAAGAAAAAAAAACCATAACCAGTCTCTTTAGGAAAAAAGAATTAAAAAAAAAAACAAACAAACCTGCAAATCACGGTCGGATTTTTTTGCAATCTGACTTCCTCGTAGCGTGTTAAGTGATTCGTTCTCTCCAGTAAACAATTGGTTTTTGCCGGAATCGGTTCCTTGCGCAATTACCCATCAAGTACCGGCGAACTCGTTTACGCCTAAGTTTCGTTTCGTTTTTCTGCCTTTGGCTAAATCAATTTTCACCACGATGAAGACGGTGCATTCGATTCGAGGGAGGATCAAGCGATCAACAGACAGATAGACAGAGAGAGAGAGAGAGAATGATACCAGTGTACAGTTTTATACGAGATCTTTGTAGTAAGCGGAAACAACCGGAGGAAGCGCAGCGTTTTCTAATCGACTAAGTATGTGTTCAACTAACCAAACAAGTGAAAATGTGAAGTCCGCACTTTGTCAACCCCCTCCTTTGTCGTCGCCCCCCTTTGCCTCTGTATGATTATGCTCGCGCGTTGTAGTTGAGACGAATCGCATATAATCACACATACCAATAGATAGCTGTTATTGTTCCCCTTCCTGCTCTATTTCACCTAGTAGCAACGCTCACACCGACATCCCCTAAACATACGAGTACGTGCACTATTCTATTGTTGTTATGAATAATCAGAGCTCTATATTTATACTTTTATCTCGTCGTATCTAAAATAGTTCGGAAAGCATTTCTCTTACTGGAAATCACCACCTTCGCATCCATCTCTGTTGTTTTTTTTTTGTTTTAACCCATGGATTGGCGTCATCCATATTATCTCACTCACACCCATATCATCATCGATGTCATGTAGAATTTAGCTCAGCGCCCTCACTCTGAAGACTCGGAGGAGAAATAAGTGCCCTCCTCCAACGCGTCGTTGTTTGCGGTGATGATGGGACAGCGGGCGAGTCGTTTATAGTTGCATCATCGCAGTACAATAACTTAATTATAGATCGTCGTCGTCGTCGTCGTCAGTCGCCCACGTGTAACACCATCTAACGTTCTGCTTTAATATCTAATACTGGAAGCTTTAACCGAGGTAGGGCATTTCGCCAATTTATCATTCAAAATCTCCGGTAGCATTTGTTTCAGTTTGGTTGCCATGCGATGCTTGCTGGAATGCGTCTGTTGTACACTCAAAAAATAATTCACGTCAGAGTTACGTGAAAATGTAGGTTGCTTTCGTCCCATCCCTTTCTTCACGTAAGAACATTGAATGAGTGTCATAAGTTTCATTATTTAAAATGGGTTTTCGAATGCTGAGCTCAAAATGCTCTCAACCACACCAAACTTCTTCAAAAGTTTCTTGAATTTCTGTAATGTTCCACGAACTTCTTCAAAAGTCCTTTACACGAAACAGTAGCTGAATTTCTGCAAAGTTCCTTAAAACTGAAAGTTTCCCAGCGTACAGAGGAATGCACTTCTCAAAAGAGTCTTGAGGAACGCTCAGAAATTGTGAACAACTTCGGAGCAGATTAGGCATTTTATTGGATAAATTCAGGATACATTGGGAAAGCTCAGAGAACTGTGAAGGAATTTCTAGAAGTAAAAGAAATTCAGAAGATTTTGTAAAAGTTCGACAAACTTCAGAGATGCACGGTAGGCAACCTTTATAAAAGGTCAAGAAACTTTTGTGCAACTTTGAAGATGTTTAGGGAGACTTTGGAGAATTTAATGAAACTTTGGACAAGCAAGTTAAGAATGCTTTTGAAACGTCATTTGGGGGAAAATTTTAATTTTCAATGCACTTCGGATACTTTGAAAAAGCTCATGGAAATATCTTTGGAAATGATAAGAAAATTTCAAGCTACTTTGAGATCAGTTCAGAGAACTTTTGAAAAGAAGTTCTTGAAACTTTAAAGAATTTTGGAGTAATAATTAGTTCAGGACACTTTCATAGCGATCGAGGATTTTTGGAATGATCTTTGCGAGGGCTCAATTTCTGGGATCATTGGGAAAACTCTGGAAATTTTAAAGAATTTTGGAGCCAAAGTGCAAAGTTTCCTAAAAACTGAACCACATAAAACTTCTCCAAATGTTTCTTGAATTGTTGTAAAGTTCCATGAACTTCTCTCATGTTCTTCGAATCTTTTCAAAGTGTCTTAAATTCTTTCAAAGTTCCTTAAAAATTCCAATTTCTTCAATTTATTTCCATTACTTGGAGAAGTTCGAGAAACTTCAGAGATGCAAGTCAAGTGAACTTCATAAACGTCAGCAACGTGAAAGTAGTTCAGGGAGATTTTGGAGAATTTCGAGAAACTTCGGAGAAGCTAGTTAAGATTACATTGATGTAGTTTCATTAATTTAAGAAGCTTCCAAAAGTTTCCTTTTTACCACTTTCTGGAGTAAAAATGTGAGAAATTATCCCAATCCTGGATAAAATAAAAATATATACTTCTAGGTGTCCAAAGATTCAAAATAAATGTTGGTTGAAAATAGGGTCTTCTTCTCCGATTGGGTCAAAGAATGAAGTAATTAAATTAAAAAAAGAAGTAATTTGGGGAAAATATGAATTTTCAAAGAACTTCAGAGAAGTTCAGAATACTTTGGAAAAATTCATGGAAGTATGGAACATTGTAGAAGACAGTTCAGTGATCTTTGGAAAATCAACTTTGAGATCATTTCAGAGAACTTTTGACAAAGCTCAGGAAATTTTAAAGATTTTTAGAGAAATAATTAATTTAGGAAACATTCAAAACGATCGAGGATTTTTTTTAAATGATCTTTGCGAGAGCTCAACACAATTTTAGAAACTTTGGAGCACTTTAAGCCACGTTTGGAGAAGCTCAGGGATCTTTGGAAAAGTTGAGGCAATTATTTTCAAAGACGCCATTTTAAAAAAATTAGAAGATCCAAAATGTTCGAATTTAAGCAAAAATGTTAGGTTAGGTTATCTTCATTAGCGAGACTTTCAGCCAGAGGCTGGTTCATCTCTTGAGCAAAAATGTGAATTATTGCCCATAACATTCAATTATTCAAAGCTTTATGCAAATCGTCATTTGGTGTGAAAATGCTCTTTTGTAAAAGTTCAGAAAAGTTAAAAGAATTTTAACTTAACATAGATCACTAACCGTACTTCTCCAAAGTTCCTTAAAAATCCAGTTTCCTCAATTTACTTCCTGAACTTATCTGTAGTTCGTTGCACTTCTCAAAAGAGCGATAAACTTTATTTTAAGTTTCTCTGAATGTCTTCAAAGCTTTCTGCACAAAGCACATTTCGCTTAAAGTTTCTTAAAATTTCCTGAGATTTCATTTAGATCTATCAACTTATTAATTCGAAGTTTCTTGAACTTCTTCAAACGTTTCTTAAACTTCTATTTATAAAGATCCCTGAACATCTTCTAAGTTCCTCGAACTTTTTCAAAGTGCCTTCCTCCAAAGTTTCGTTAAATTTCATTAGCCCTCAATTTACTTCATGAATTTATCCGCAGTTTCCAGCACTTCCCCAAAGTGTAATAAACCAATTTTAAAATACCTTTAATTCCGTCATCATACTTTTCCAAAGATCCGCAAACTACTATACAATTCCATGGACTTCTATTAATTTTTTAATGAAAAAATACCCGAACTATTCCACAAATGGTTTGGATGATACCCTGAACACGTCGTTAATCAAAATAATTAATTAATTTAGCTTTATTTAGGAGGCTTTCAGGCTGGTTCGCCTCCAACTTAATCAAAATAACCATACACCTGAAAGTCCTCCAAAATTCGTTAAAATATCTTGAGTTTTTCCGTGGTTTCCTCAATTATTCAAAAAAAAAAAAAAAAAAAAAAAAAAAAAAAAAAAAAAAAAAAAAAAAAAAAATCGATTTTTCTGAGCTTTGAAAGTTCCTTGAACTTTTCCAAAAGTTCCATGAAATGCTCCAAAGTTACTTAAAATTGACTGAGCTTTCACAAAGATGACTTAATTGTTCCTCGATCGTTTCTGAACTTCTCCAAAGTTCTTGTAAAGCTTCGTAAAATTCTGGAAAATTTCCCTAAACTTTTTTTAAGCTCCATAAAATTTTCTTTTTCTTTTTTAAAGCTCCCGGATTTTCTCGTAAGTTGCTAAAATTTCCTAAGCTTTTGTTACAGTTTCGTCAATTTTTTTCTAATAAGTTCTAGGAATTTTTTCAAAAGGTCACTCAAGCAGAAGTTTCTTAAAATTTTCGTATCAGTTACAAAACTCACTCATCTTACATCTTCGAACTTCCATACCCATCAAATTCCCCGATTGTTCCCTGAACTTCTCCAGAGTTACCTAAAACTCCCTTAGTTTCCCCAACTTTTCGGATCAGTTAAAAAACTCACTCAATTTATTTCTTCAAACTTCCATACTTCCATTGAATTTCCTAACAGATCCCTGAACTTCTCCAGAATTTCTTAAGATTCCCTCAGCTTCCTCAATCTAGTTTAAAGTTTTTTTTTTTTTTAATTCCGTCACCTCTTTTTCCGAAGATCCCTAAACTTCTATAAAGATCCATGGACTTCTTTAAAATTCCTAGAATTTCACCAAAGCTACTTAAAAATTCCTGAGCTTTCCCGAAGATCATCAAGCTGTTCCGCGATCGTTTAGAATGTTTTCTGAACATCTCCAAAGTTCTTTACAATTACCAGATCTTTCTGTAAACTTTCCTAAAATTCTGCAAAAATTCCCTAAACTGTTCTAAAGTTGCCTAAAATTTCCTGAGCTTTTTCAAAGTGTCGTCAATTTTTTTCTCTCAAATTCCACGAAATTGTACAAAATTTCACTGATGCCCAAGGTTGCTTAACATTTTCCGATCTTTTACAAAACTCGCTCAGCTTACTTCTACATAAACATAAACTTCCTGAGCTTCCCCAATCTACCTTAAATTCCGTCAACTTACTTTTCCAAAGATCCGCAAACTTCTATAAAGTGCAATGAACTTCTTTAAAATTCCTGGAACTTTTCAAAAGTTCGTTAAAATTTCCATGGTTTACTCTATTTACTTCTCCAAAAAAATTCAAATTTTTCTGACTTCCTTAAACTTCTCCAAAAATTCATTGAAATGCTCCAAAGTTATTTAAAATTTCCTGAGCTCTCCCAAACATGCCTAAACTGTTCCACGATCGTTTCGATCGATTCCTGAACGTCTCTAAAGTTCTTTAAAATTTCCTGATTTCATTGTAAAGTTCTGCAAAAGTTCTTTGTACTTTTCTTAAGTTGCATAAAATTTCCAGAACTTCTTCAAAAGCTTCCTGAACTGCTCCAAAGCGGTTTAAAATTTCCTGCGCTTTTTCAAAGTTTCCTCAACTTTTTTCTCCCAAGTTCCATGAAATTCTCCAAAATTTCGCTGAAGTCCATAGTTGATTATAATTGTCTGATCTTTTACAAAACTCGCTCAACTTACTTCCATACTTTCATTCAATTCCCTAATATTCCCCTGAACTTCTCCAGAGTTACATAAAACTCCCTGAACTAACCCAATCTACCGTCAAGTTTCCTTGAAATGCTCCAAAGTTACTTAAAATTTCCTGAGCTTCCCCAAACCTACCTAAACTGTTCCACGATCGTTTCAAACGTTTCCTGAACGTCACCAAAGTTTTTTTTTTAATTTCCTGGTTTTTTGTATAGTTTCCCAACGTTCTACAAAAGTTCCTGAGCTTTTTTCAAAGTTTCGTCAACTATTTTCTCCCAACTTCCAGGAAATTCTCCAAAATTTCCCTGAAGTCCAAAGTTACTTAAAATTTTCCGATCTTTACAAAATTCACTCAACTTACTTCTTCCAATAGTTCCCTGAACTTCTCCAGAGTTACTTAAAACTCCTTGAGCTTCCCCAAAGATCACTTTACTTTCATCTATGAAGTTTATCGACCCTTTTCAATGTTCCGTGAATTTATCAAATCAAACTCCTATCAAATTTCCTGAAAATTTCCAAAGATTCCTGAACTACTTAAAACCCGATCTATTTCAAAGGGGCATCAAATTTCTTGAGCTTTCTTAAAAAAAACACCACTGAACTTACTTCTCCAAAGCTTCTCGATCGTTTCGAAAGTTTTTTGAACTCGTCCAAAGAAATTTGAAATTCTTGAACTTCTTCAAAAGTTCCCTGAATTGGTCTAAAGTTGCTTAAAACATCCTGAGCCTCTTCAAAGTTTCGTCAACTTTTTTCTCTCAACTTCCAGCGAATTCTTCAAAATTTACCTGAAGCCCAAAGTGGCTTAAAATGTTCCGATCCTTTACAAAACTCACTCAACTTACTTCTATTAAATTATCCAACTTCTCCAGAGCTTCTTAAAACTCCCTGAGTTTTCCAAAAGATCACTCAACTTCAATCTATGAACTTTATCTAATCTTTTTAATGTTTCGTGAATTCATCCACTGAAAGTATTATCAAAATTCCTGAGCATTCCCAAAGATTCTTGAACTCTTAAAAACCCGATCTACTTCAAAAGTGTATGAAAATTCTTTCCTAAAAAACACCACTCAACTTACTTCTCCAACATTTCTCGGTCGTTTTGGATGTTTTTTGAACCTGATCATAACTCCTGAAATTTGCCTAACCGTTTAAAAAAAATCAACTTACTTCTTCAAAGCTTCTTGAACTTGGTTTTCCAAAATTCTTAATAATTTCCTAAACTTTTGAAAAAGTTCCCTGAACTGTTCTAAAGTTGCACACAAATTCCTGAGTTTTCCCAAAGATAACTAAAGTTAACTCTCTGGAGTTAATCGAGCTATTCCAAAGTGTCCTGATCTTCACTTAAGTTGCTTTAAATTTTCAAAGTTTTTCAAATCATCTTGAATTTATCTTTCCGAAATTTTCTATATTTTACTCCTTCAGAGAACTGTAAAATTTCCTGAGCTTTCCCAAACTTGCCCAAACTATTCCAAAATTTTTGAAAACGTTCTTCGGGACATTTAACGGGATTTAAGATATAGTAGTTTAGAAAATTTACTTCAGAGGGAACTTACTTCATATAAATTGATAGAATGTTCACAGCAACTAAGGATATAGGGATGTTACTACCGGACTTTGGTAGCGAACTTAAAAGAATTTCAATGAACTTACTTCAGGGAAGAGTTCGGAGACGGAAATCTATAGAAAATCAGGAATACGTAGAGCACTTAGAAAAGGTTCACAGAAAGAACCCGTGTGAGAAGCTTGGCAAAATGATCCAAGATTCCTGAAATTTTTATAAGGGTTTCCAGGAAGTGCCCAAATCTTTCTCAAAAATTACCTGATGTTTGGTAAGGTTCCCTAAGCTTGTCTGAGGTTGCCAGATTTTTGTCTGGATCCTCAGAAAATCTCTGAACGGTGAATTTACGGTTTCCAAAGCTTCTCTGAGGTTCCCTGAACTTTTTTTCAAGCTCGTAGAACTTAGTAGCTCTCTAAACTTTTCAGAGGGTTTCCTTGATCTTCTCTAAGGTGTACAAACCTTCTCTTGAGGGTCGATAATTTTTCATCTGGAGTTGTCTGAACTTCTATAAAGTACCCGGAATTTACCGTTGGTTTCCAAGAACTTTGCTACAGAGGTTTTCCCGAACTCCTCTGATGTTCGCTGGACAACTCTGAAGTTTACTAAACATCTCTGAAGCTGAGCTTCTGTAAGGGTGACCTGTGAAATGTACCTGTGTGCCGCTTTTTTTGCTAAGGTTTCACTGGACTTATCTCTAATGTTAACTGAAGTTTTTGAACTTCCATAGACTCTCAGACAACTTCTGAGAAAATCAGCAAGTAGGTGAGAAATTCCGAGTGGATCGCAGAGCTTCTGAACGGAGGAGAACTTCTCACAAGTTTCATGAACATTATATACATTCAGATAATTCCGGTCGAACGTCTGAGACATGCGCAGGACGTCGGGGATGTCTTTCAGTTGTCTTTCCAGGTTTCTCCTAGCCTTCGCTGTTGTTCCCTGGCTCCCCATGGCTATTCCAAAACACAATGGGGTTCTCTTAAGTTTAACTTCTCTGGAATTTAGTGAGTTTTTTTTCCAGAAGTTTGCTCAAGGTTCCTATGATCTTCTTTGTAGATCTCCTGGGCTGCTGCTTTGAACTGTCACTGGACTTCTTCAATGTTAAAGGAACTTTTTCGTTCCATGAGTTCTCCGAGAACTTCTGAGAAAATCAGCAAGCAGTTGAGAGCATTCCGTTTCTGAATCATCTTGCCCCTTAAATGCTGGTCGATTTGATAGATTTTGCACATCTCTCTGTTGAAAGGATTAAGGAGCATCTGAAAGGAAGAAACCGTGAAGATGGGAGAACTATTTAATCGTTCATATTGGTCCGGGGAATGCTTCTGAGAGATGCAAAGGATTTCTGAGATGTCTCGTTGTTTTTTAGTCTTTCTGAGGTGATCCATGGCTACTCTGGGCCTCTGGTTTCTCATAAGTAAACTAAGCTTCTGTTTAGTTAATTTCTCTGCATTTTGATTGAACTTCTGTAAAGCTTCCCATGAACTTCTTTATAGTTCTTCTTGGACTTCTTTGAGATTTCACACAACTTCTCTAATGTTAAACGGAATTTTGCAGAAGTTCACTAATAACAAAATACCATTAACGAACGATAACCCAAATTATTGAACTATTCCACAAATGGTTTGGATGATACTCCGAATACGTCGTTAAGTAAATTAACTATAACATTTTTATTAGG